CAGACCACATTCCGCAGCCAAACATTTTAATGCGTGTCAAAAAGTGTTTGCAGATCTGCATGTTACGGAGATCCCCTTATGCCCTCTATCAGTTGGGGGGTCGGTGGGGTTTTTTTCAAACACAAATCCCTCCTCGTCACCTCGTGTCATGGATCTGGAGACGTTTGACAGCTCAATACTCTAGGGTAGAGCGGGTGTAAAGTAATAGATTAAAACTAACAAAAACATTTCATCTGTGCTTGCAGCAATTTGTAAATGCTGTGGAGAGTTTTGTTTTGACTCGTGTCGCTGAGCAGCCTGTCTAGCTTCGTTGATGTGTTACTGACATGAGAACGCTTCTTTTTACTAAGAAGGTTGTAGGTTCTTCACAGCATTTTTTAAACTCTTTATTTCATGTTTACACTATAGTCATACTATATATTTCTTTTTGACATGGTGTTGAACCTTAGTTCGCAGAGTAGCTTTTTTAAAGAAAATCAAATACAGAAGTAAGTCTTGATTCTGATTCACACACAAGGTATCATCAAATGGCAACATAGATCTACCAGTTTGCATAAAGCCGACATATCGATTAGAAATGTTCACGTTATTTTAGCAAATACTTTTCCTAAATAGTGCATGGTACTAGTTTGACCCCTTTCCTATATATCATTTGCTACTTCTTCTTCTCTTTTTTTTTCATAAAGGATGATCTCTGAATTTCATATCTATCCCCAACAGACCCAAGCTAAGTGGTTGGAGTGGAAAGCCTTGGGAACAGCCCAACAAAGATCAAGAGCGCACCATTGGGGAACCAGACCTGCAACCTGCAACATTCGAACCATAACCCAAAGTTACGCCAGCTGTGTTGACGTTCGCAAAATCATCCAATAAACTTTGCAGGTGGCCTTGGCATTTAAATTAGTCAACCTTATCAAGCAAGCATATTAATTACAAAAGCAGTCCTTCTACGTCTTGGCCAGGATCTTGGCCAGGAAATTAATCCCACCATAATAGTAGGAGGGGAATTAGGTTAAGGTAGTTCATGTTGCATTTTTTGGGAGGTTGCATTATCCCTTTTAACTGTTGTGGCAGGCCTTGTGAAGTGTTGAGAGCTCATCCTGGTGACACGTTCTTCCTCGTACATTATAAAACAATGCGTCCATTGAGTAAAGATAGTTATCCTTTCTCTGTTGAGGTAGCATTGATGGTATCTGCCTTCCTTTAAAATTCCTTTATCTACAACAAAACAAAAAGCGTTCGTTGACTGTCATGCTCACGGCAAGAAACATAAGCTTAGAAATCTTGACGTGGGCATGGTTGGCAGGTGCTCTCGTTTGATTTGCTCCTTCTTTCCTGTCAAAGATCTGTCGTCGTCCTTTTCTCTCTTCCTTCTTTTCTTTGTTTGTTACTCTCTTGTGACACCTCTAATCTTCGGCATTCATATGACCTTATTATGTTGCAAGTGCCGTAAAACCCGTGTCGGTGCTTAAACAAACAAGAAATCCCGATGAGAAGAATAATATACTTAAACATTGTGAGATGGAGGTTCAGAAATACGATTTCAAAATAGATTGTGTAATGATATACTGTTGTAACGATCACTTAAGATTATGGTGTAGCTTTTTTGTTTGTTTGTTGGGTTTGGGTTTTTTTTTAATCTAACGTTGATGAACAGACACACTACTTGGTTTGCCTTTCGTTTGCTTTCTTTTTCTACGTGTTCTAATTTTAAATCATACTCTACCTATTCCGAGAGACAAGTTAAACAGAAAACCAAAACCAATAATTATATGCTCACCGTTGTCTTGAACATTTAATTTGAAACACCCTACTCCCCCGCGGTGAGCTCGATCTTTAATTTTTAAGCTGCCGGGGGCCCGTCTTCTACTCTTTCCCCTTCACTGTTTGTAGCAGAATGATATAAAAATGAAAAGCGATTTTGGAATGAGGCAGTCTCTAAAAATAACGAAAGAAATAAAAGAAAGAAAGAAAGAAAAAAGAAAGAAAGAAAGAAAGAAGCAGACGCACTCCAATCGTATGAGACATTTCTAAAAGCTAGAATAATGCTGGAAATATTGAAAATTTCATTAACAGAGAAAAAGCAAAGATCCACAATAAGAGAGGAATATGAGATCTTTCCAATTAGATGAGGTGTTAAAACGGAGAGCAGGAATAGGTTTACCTGTGATAAAAGGAAAGAGTGTATGAAACCGACAGGCACACACAGGACAAAGAGAAAACAAAATGAAGAAGAAAAGCGAAAGTCGAAATAAAATAAAATATTTCATCTCGAGTGTGCCTCTTGAGGAAATCCGCTGATCGCTTGAGTTTCAATAAATTTCAAGTTTTATTGAACGTATCGTGGTTCTGATCCAGCAGTCAGGTGTGGAAAGGGCTAAATATCTCATTCCCAGATCCACTCGACCCTCTCAACGTCTCAATGGTCTCTTTTCAGAATAGAGAAGTCCGTCTTTTGACCAATGAAGCGTAGAGTGCTTCACATGTTTACTATGACTTTTTATGTGGTATGGTTCAGGACTTATTGGGGGTATTGCTCTCACTCTCTTCTTTCCCTACTTATAGCTGTCTTCTCTAAGTCTCTTTATTTGTCTGTCTGTCTGTCTGTCTGTCTGTCTATCTGTCTGTCTGTCTGTCTGCCTGTCTGTTTGTATGTCTGTCTGTCAGTCAGTCAGTGAGTCTGTCTGTCTGCCTGCTTGTTTGTCTGGGTGTCTCTGTCTCTCTTTATCTCTCTCTGTCTCTGTCTCTCTCTGTTCTCTGTCTCTCGTTCTCTTTTTCTTTCTCTCTCTCTGTCTCTTTCTCTTTCTTTTTCTCTCTTTCTCTTTCTCTCTCTCTTTCTCTCTCTCTATCTATCTATCTATCTGCCTCTCTCTCTCTTGCTCTCTCTCTCTCTATTGCTCTCTCTCTCTCTCGCCCTGTCTCTCTCTTTCACACGCTCTTTCAACCTCTCTATCTCTCTCTCTCCCTCCATCTCTCTCTCTCTCTCTCTCTCTCTCTCTCTCTCTCTCTCTCCTCTCTCTCTCTCTCTCTCTCTCTCTCTCTCTCTCTCTCTCTTCACTCTAAGTCTCTCTCTTCACTCTAAGTCTCTCTCTCTTAATTCAGGGCGTTTTGATGTTTTTTAAGTATTAATTTATAAGTCAGATCTTTTCACTTACTTTGTCTATTCCCTTACTTATTCATCCGTTTTGTTCCTTCTCTTATTTATGTTTCCTTTCACTCTATTCGTTTATAAAATCCTTTACTTGTTTATTCCTTCATTTATTGTCGGAAGGAGGAGATGTTCTTCGTTCGGTTTTATAATTAAATATTTCGGTTAGCGTGCTTTTAGCTTTTACGCGCGAATGCAGGTGTATGTGAGTGCAAAGATGAATATTAAAAAGTATTTCATAATAGCTCTATTTCTGTCTGTTTGTTGCATATATATATGAATCGAAAATTTAAAAATGCAGGGGATATTATAGCAACTGTGATCACAGACCTGCAAGGATTTATTCATATTTATTGCTTCTTATGAAGTTGAATTTTTATACCATTTTATGTATTTCTAGCGTCGATTTCTTTCATACCTGCACAGAAGTTTCTACATGCAGTAATGAGACATTTCTGTGTGCGTTCAGCGTGGTGTATGAGGACTTAGACACATTCAACTGTGATTTTGACAAACCTTCCCCCGTGATTTTTCCGGTGAATCAAAGAAAATGTTAAATTTTGCTCATATCATTTTTGTCAAGGAAATACACAAAAGTGTCCATTATAGTGTATTCTTGACTGTGTCCCATTCTTTAAGCACTGTTTGAGTTGTGGTTTGAGGTTTTGACCTTATTGTCAATCACTGTGATACAAAAAAAAAATCTTGCAATATACAACAAAACTATTTTTTTCTACTTTTTAACCATGCATTGGAGGCATGTAAGCAATTAAAATTGTTATCTTCTGGAAAAGAAGTCAGCTATTTCATATTGCATGTCCTTAAAAAGACAACAGGCAATGTCTTCGAACTATCCTTAGAATAGCTCATTAAACTGTGCGGTTGTTTTCCTTTATACCTGAGAAGTATACCCTGCACCTCTTGATTATTAAACAGACCTCCTCTGAGCCTAAGACTCAAGAGTAAGAAATCGATCCAGAATTGGGCCCAAATCGATCGGTTCGGCTGGCATTGACGGTGCACAGCACAAGGCTAACCCACAAGGGTAATAAGAAGAATACGAGGTGGTCGCTTTGACTTGCCGTTTGCCAGTGTTCGATGTTGCTATTGTGTGCAAGTTAGGCCTGAGACCGGTGAGGTACTTGAGAGAGAGAGAGAGAGAGAGAGAGAGAGAGAGAGAGAGAGAGAGAGAGAGAGAGAGAGAGAGAGAGAGAGAGAGAGCGAGAGAGTGGGGGATGGGAGAGGGGGTAGAGTGAGAGAGAGAGAAAGAGAGAGCGGGTGCGGGAGAAAGAGAGAAAAGTGTATACAAACCATCAGACAGACAGACAGACAGACAGACCAACTGGCAGTAAAGTGAAGGGTTGGGGGAGGGAGAGATACAGTTATAGGTGTACTATGCGTATAGCTGTGCAGGTGTGTTATGTGTGTCCAAGTGTGTTTGGGGTGTGTGTTTGTATGTCCGTTTGTGTTTGTGTGTGTGTGTGTGT